GCAGGCCTGGGGCTGTTGATTTATCCAGCCCCATCCTAAGTTATGAATGTTGTGGTATTTTAATGTTGTCTTTAATTTTTGAACCCCCCTTCCCTTTTTATTTGTAAGCCGCCCTGAGGCTCTTGAGAGTGGGTGGCATACAAACCCAATAAATGAAAATGAAATGAAATAAGGCTCCCCCTGATAATAAGCCTCCTGGACAACCACCCCGCCAGCCAGGCAGAGTGCCACTCACCAACCTAGTGATATCTCGAAGGCGCCAAGCCTCAGGAGCCGGGGGGAGGGGTGCAAAGGTGCTCACATTGCTTGCCGGCTTTGGGATACCGCTAGGTTGGTGAGTGGCTCTGTGCTCAGCTGGAGCAGGGGTTGCCGGGAGGCTGCTCTCATGAGCAGCCACCCGGCAACCCCCTTTTTCAGCCGAGCAGAACACCACTCACAGACCTAGTAATATCCCAAAGGTGCTAAGCCGCATGGCGCTCTGCCCGGCTGGAAACGGAGGTTGCGTGAGTGCCTGTTCTGCCCAGCTTGCGTGCCTCCCAGCTTCACTATGCCCTGGCCCAGCTCTCCCTGCAGGGCCAGGGCACCACCACCGCCGAGCTCCACAGGTGGCACGCATGCGCTGGCCAGCTGACTTTGGCCTTCTTTTGAGGCCGTTTTTTGCCTTCCGGAGGCTTCCCTGAAGCCCCCAAAGCGCGAAATTCAGGAATGGACTTCTAGTTTACTCATATGACCGGTTTTCACCCTCTGGCGCCTTCATGGAAGCCTCCTGAAGGCTCTGGAGATCGAAAAACGGCCCTACAGACAAACTGAAAGTCACAATTCCTGAACTTCCAGGTTCCCTGTAGGTCTGTTTTTTGCCCTCTGAAGGCTTCAGGGAAGCTCCTGAGGCCTCCGGAGGGTGTCGGGGGGGTAGTGGCGACTGTTTTTGCCCTCACCATGCTCAGAAAGCCTCTGGAGTCTGGGGAAGGTGAAAAAAATGCACCAAAAGTGGGTGGTGGTGCTGCTGATTGTGCACATGCACGCGGGCTGAGGTAGTCACATGCAAAGCATGGGTGTGGCATGCCGGTGCATGCCCCCCTCCCTGTGCTCCCCCTGCATTTGGCATGGCAGCCAAAAAGGTTTGCCATCACTGTGGTAGAAGTTAAAAGCAGGAGAGAACAATTAGTTTCATTTTAGAGTTCAGAACAGACAAAGTGTTAGTTTCATTTCAGCACAGCAGACAAGCCCAGACAGACTGTTTACTTCTCAGAGCAGTAGATTGCTTAAGTTTTTGTTTCAATTCTCTGCACAGACTCAGATCTGTTTAAGCTCCCATTGGCTGACTTAGTTGCTATGCCTATTCATTGGCTGACCTTGTTCCCATGTCTCTCCCAGTCATGAATATTTTAACAGTACTCCCGTGCAACCTCCTTCCCCCAATATCTTTTTATGGGAAGAGGTTCGTTTCCTATCAGTAGATTAGAATTCTACCATTACCTTTAGATTTGTTAAGTTTCTATCTTCAATGATTTCCATAGAAAGCATCAAGATGTCCTAATCATGGAATGATAATACTATTAAGTCTCTCTTTTCTCTTTTACCATCTTTTGTTTTATTTTATTCTATTTTGTTTATACTGTTTAATATTTTACATTTTTATATGACATGTTATATTTGGTTTTAAGCAATATCAAATATAACAAATAGTAATAAAAAACCTAAAACAAATAAACAGTATAAAACACAATAGAAACAGAAATTTTCTTAAAATAGAAATTTTAAGAAATCTTAAGATTTCAAGTTACAATTATTTAAATATTGTCAGGTTAAATCAGATGCCCCACTACACTGTCTTCAATAAGATTCAGAAGTTGCCCTTGGAAACCTTGCAGGCTATATTTGGATCTCATGAGTAACAACTATAATTTACAAACTTAGCCTTTAGGACAAAGTATATCATAAGATTTCTAGTACATGTGAACAGGAATAGCGTTGGTTGAAATATTAGGCAATTTTCATCCTAAGAGAAAATGATCTTTGTTTTGTGTTAACATCTGCCTGGTAAAGAGCTGTAAGTTCAGTATGGAATTTCTGTGGGTCTCATCTTTGATTAATAAAAATACCTCTGAACATTTAAGTTCATACCTTTATTTCACTACATATAATTCTCAATTTACAACCATTCATTTGATGAATGTTCAAAGTTACAACGCCACTGAAAAAAACTGACATGACCAGTTTTTGAACATATGACCATTTCAGCATTCCCAGTCACATGATCAAACTTCGGTTGCTTGGCCACTGGCATGTATATTTATGATGGTTGCATTGTCCTGGCAACCTGGGATTATCATTTGCAACCTTAGAAAGCTTCTGACAAGCAAAGTCAATGTGGGAAGCCAGATTCACTTAATGATCACATGGCAAAAAAGATCATAAAATGGGGCACTATTCATTTAGCAACAGAAATTTTGGGCTCAATTGTAGTTGAGGACTAGTAATGACATTCATATTAGAGGCCTGAAGACTAAAGGTCTGGAGACTAAAACATATGAAGAATGGCTGCAGGATTTGTGTTTAACTAGTCTAGAGACAAGAAAGACTAAGGGGGACAGTATGATAGCACTATTCCAGTATTTGAGGGGCTTCGGCAAAGAGGAGGGGGAGTCAACTTATTTTTCAAATCACCAGAGGGCAGGACAAGAAATGATGGATGGAAACTAATCAAGGAGAGAAGCAACCTGGAAATAAGGAGGAACTTCCTAACAATGAGGATAATTAATCAGTGGAACAGCTTGCCTTCAGAAGTTGTAGGTGCTTCATCACTGGAGATTTTTTTTTCAAAAAAAAAGACTGGACAGTCACTTGTCTGAAATGGTATAGGGCCATGATGGCAAACCTGTGGCACAAGTGGCCACAAGTGGCACGCAGAGCCATTTGTCAGGGCACACAAGACGACTTCCGCCTTTTGAGGCCGTTTTTTTGCCCTAGGGCCAAACCGGAAGTCACAATTCCCGAACTTCCATGTTCCCCGTAGATCTGTTTTTGGCCTCCGGAGCCTTCAGGAGGCTTCCCTGAAGGCTCCAGAGGGCAAAAACTGGCGTTATGAGCAAACCGTATGGCAAACCGTAATAACTTTATTGTTATTAATTAATTAAATCTGTTATGGCCACCCATGCTAAAATACAATTTTATTATTGCTAGACTGTTATTTAATTGAATAAGAGTATGTTTTCATTCTGTATATAAATTCACTTATGACTGGGGACCAGCCAATTCATAAGCAGTCTTAGTATAATATGGGTGTGTGAGAAAGGAATTATTATTTTTCTAATTTTAGATCCCTTCCTTTTCCTTCCTTCTTGTCTCAGCCCTAGGCAGATTCACAAATAGACAAAACAGTATAACATCCTTTCTAAAAGACAAAAATACAACCATGATTGCATCATCCTGAATTTTCTCCTTGGAAGAAAAGGGATTAACTCTTCTCCGCCGTTCTTGTTCGGATTTGCTTACTGATGCTTGAGACACACCGCCTCCATCCTTTAACCTTTACTGGCGTGGAGTCTGTACCTTTTCTATAAAATGCACTTGATGAGAAGTTGGTGTAGCGCCCAGCCAGACGCGTGGAAAACAGCAGCTTTGCTACAATGGAATTAAGAGAAAACCGGGCAGAAACGCGAGACCCTCCAGCGCCGGAGAAGACAACCTTCACGCTCACCGCCAACCCTGCCAGCTCCTTTCTTTCCGCTCCCTCCCCTTCTCTAGGCTCCTCCCTCCTTCTCCTGAACGCAGAATCCTGACGTTTCTAGCCTTTCTGACCCACGCGGGGAGCCGTAGAACGGAGTCCTGGCCTTGGTAGTTGCCAACGACGAGCCTCGTTGGTTGTTAAGGTAATGAAAGCTTCGGCGGGGCGGAAAGAGGGCCCGTTTACAGGGGGTTGTCCGGCCTCTACGAGAGGCGCAGTGGGAAATCGGGCTGGCGAGACGGAGATTGGGTCAACGAGAGGCGCGGAGCTTTGTCCCAAAAAGGAAGATGTCAGGTCCGCCCAGGGAAGGAGGATGCAGGGTGTCCCCAAGGCGGGGAATTCACTGCTTGTCTCTAAAACCATCTTTATTCCACACCCTTTTCCTTAGCAAATACATTTAAGTCTTAAAAAATTCATCTCGCCAACCCAAGGCGTGGCGAGAAATGAAAAGCCAGGGGAACGGGTCTAAGAGTGGTCAGAGGGCTTCTGTTTTTACTCTTTAATATTGGTGCTCCTGCAGTGAATGGTAACACCCAAAAACATCAGCATGATAAGCAAGATTGTTCGGTCCACTGGGCGGCATTTAAAAGGTGCAGGCTTGCTGTAATAACTATAGCTCAGGATTTTTCTATAACTATATTTTATTTGCAGAGCAAACTGGGTTTTTTTTCAGAGCCACCCAATTTCTGCAGATTGAGCATGAAAATGCATCCTTCAGGCTTTATGCAGATTCCATCTAGCAAATGATAACAAACCACTTGGGATTTTTTTTTTAAGGCACATTTTTTAAGGGTGATGCCGAAAAAGCCAGACAAGAATATCCATAGGAAAGAATCAGCGCTCACTTAGGCTCATAGAAATCGCTATGCTGCAAATAAGTGTTGACTAGATTGGACCCTATTCAAACTAAGGCAGCAACCTAAATATGAGTTATAAATAAAACGTGGAATGGATTGTGAAAAGAAAATCAAGGGGCCAAAGAAACAGATGAGATGGATTTGGTAATATTTCTTGTTCAGTTTACTTTCTGAAGATGTATTTATTAAATCTTCATATTTATTTATATCCCGCCCTTGCCTTCAGGAGCTGGAGGTGATGTACATAATGCTCCTTCTTCCCCTATTTCCAAACAACAAACTTATAAGTTTGTGGGACCCAAAGACACCTAGTGAAAAGATTATATATGTATGTGGAAGTATATATGTATATCTCCACATATATACATACACACATACATACATACAGACAGACATACATACACACACTTGTACCAGTGTTTGTGTGTATACATACGTGGGCAGCGTGAGCCCACACATTGCATTTAGCCTTTGTGATTACAATTTACCAGTAACATCTTTTTATTCTAGAGATAGTACTTTAATAAAGCTCATTGTACAAAATGTAGCTTGGCTCTGAAGAGGTATAGATTATATAATTAAAGTCCATTAGTGTAATATTTGTTCATTGATTGTTCAATCATAATATGAGAAATAAGGAAATTTGGCATACAGGGAGCCCTCAACTTACGACCACACAAAATCTATGTTGCTAAGTGGGAAATTTGTTAAGTGAGTTTTGCCCCATTTTACGACTTTGCTTGGCACATTTGTTAAGTAAATCACTGCAGTTGTTATATTAGTAACATGGTTGTCAAGTGAATCTGGTTTCCCCAGCAACTTTGCTTTTCAGAAAGTTGCAAAAGCTGATCACATCACCCCGGGATACTAAAATCATCATAAATGTGAGTCAGTTGTCAAGGATCCGAATGTAAATCATGTGACCGTGGGAATGCCGCAACAGTCAAAAGTGTGAAAAATGGTTATGTCACTTTTTTTAGTGTAACTTCGAATAGTCACAAGCAAACTGGTAAGTTGAGGACTATCTGTACTACCATATAGAAAAAAAACACATAGAGAGATACATTTTTTAATTAAGAGGTATATTCTCAAAAATACAATTGAGAGTTTAAGGCGCTTAGGTTACCCCACATAAATTACTAAATTTGATTTTTGATTTCAAATTTGTCAACAGCTTCTTGATTGTGATTTACATTTCATATTAGGTTATTGTATTGTTTTTATATTTTGTAAGTCACCCAGAGTTACTATTGTGAAATGGAAGGCTACATAAATTGAAACAAACAAACACACAAACAAAAAAGTAAGTCTACAAAAATATAGCCCATCTATATTTTTACATAAATGACATAACTAAAATTCCATTGATATATTGGTGTACCTAGATACAGTTTGTATTCACAGCCAATGTATGGCTGTGAAAGTTGGACCATAAGAAAGGCGGAGTGCCCAAGAATTGAGGCCTTTGAACTATGGTGCTGGAGAAGACTCCTGTGAGTCTCTTGGACTGCAAGGCGATCAAACCAGTCAGTCTTAGAGGAGATCAACCCTGACTGCTCTTTAGAAGGCCAGATCCTGAAGATGAAACTCAAATAC